AATGCAGCTGCCAGCATTTCCAGTACCCTTGGTGACATTATTTCTAATTTCTGTAGTAAAGTGAGAAATTTGTTACTGAGAGTATCTTCTTGACCTAATACCGAGTGAAAATGTTGCAAAGTAACCCAGGTTTCCTCACTGCCTGGGTGATTTCTGATTTATGTACTTCCACACTGAACACTGAAATAATTTTTTAGGGAACAGACACAAAGAGCCCCTCAAAATAGAACTCAAAAAGTCATCTCCAGTCAGCATTAGTAATCAGTGCAATGCCCCGTGCTGTTTTTTCCTTATCTGTGAGCAGGTGTGCAAATGAATAGAACAATGTGGGCACGTTCTCCTGCCAGTGCCCAAAGAAATCCAACCAGGAGGTGCTTTACACATTCCTTACTCACAGCCCTCATTGTCTCCCCCCCTTGCCTGTTTTAACTCTTTGCTATCTCCTCTCTCAGGAAGTGCTCAAGTTCCCTTATTTAAAGCTGCCACTGAATCATTCCAAAACTTGTTTTAAACGAGGTAATTTTGGAGAACAGCTCAAAACTGAGTTGTTACTCAGTGTACCCACCGCTCGTTACACTGTCTGTGAAAACACGCTGCCACTTTGTCACCTCACTCCCCAGCACTCGTGGGGAGTTTCTGAAGTGCAGCTCAAGGTTTGATCAGTTCTGAATTTCTGTTTAATTACAGACCACCATAAAAGAGGGAAGAAACCTCCCCCAGAGTTATTAACAAATACTGGCATCAAACTTGAGGAATGCAGGGTGTGATGGAGCAGCCTCCTGGTGACCACCCACAGCAGTTAATAAATAACAATTAATAAAGAGAGGAAGCTGATGAGGAAAGGGAAGACTGAGCAAGAGAAAGGATGAGTGGAATTCGATGTTCCTGTTCTGGGAACAAGTGATTTCTGGGAAAGAAAAAAAAATAAAAAACAAGTCAAGGTTTCCCAGTTATTATACATGACCCTTCCACTTCCATTTTTATGATAAATGCTTTATAAAGACCTGCTTGTGGTCTGCTTGAACTTCTTTTTTCTTGTCCCAAGTACCCTTAAACGCTGTTGATTAAACAAGCCAGCAGCCTTTTCAAGCAGGAACTTATCAGATGGGAGCTGTTAATTTAATCACGGGAGAGATCCGTTTTGAATTTGGCCATCTAAAACGCTGCTAATTAAGTGAGATTTCACTCATTAGTCGTGCCTAATCATTCCCGGGGAGTGAAGTCAGTGTCGTGTCAGAACACAGCGCTGCCTTCTCCCGGGTGTGGCACGGACTTTGTTCTGCTCCAGCACGGAGCAGCCCCACGTGAAGATGTGGAAAAGCAGCGCAGGGTTTTCAGAAGAGCTGGAATGATGTGTGTGCCTGTCCCCATCGCAGCAGCGTGGGTTTAACCCCTTGTAGCCCTGGGGAACAGGAGGGGGCTCGGTGGAGCTCCTGACGCAAGGCAAGGCAGGAGGCTGCAGCTCAGCCGAACACAAAAACCCTCTCGAGTCCACGTTGACAAATTCTTTAACAAGCCCTGTGGTTACAGGGAAGCTGGTTTCAGTCTGAGTCACTCCTGTTCAAACAGTTTACTGGAAATGGAGGGGAGGGGGAATTTTCAGAGAAGTCATGTGATGGCCAGACAAACCACAACCAGTAAAGGTTCAGTGGAGGCAAAAACAGGTCCCAGCAACAACTGACAGCCAGTGTGCAGATGGCACTCAGTCATTTCCAAACCAGTCCTGCTGCACCTCGGCATTTCTATGGATTTAACCCTTCGCCAAGCCTGTGTTCCTCCCCAGGCAGGACGCAGCATGGAGAGTAAACAAACAGCAGTGGCTGATAGTAACATAGGCAACTAGAAAATATTTTTACATGGAAATTTGGCTGCGGGCGAGGCTGCACAGAAGCAAACCCCCGATGTGTAAATCATTAGTTCTTAAAGAAATGCCACTTAACGAAGCCAAACACTCACAGCCATTAAGGATTAGATATGCAAAGATATCAGTACTTTCCCCTGTTAGCAAGCAGCACCAGGATACAGCAAGGCCCACGCACTGTCACCGGGTACCCTGAGGGAAGCTGGCACCAAAAGTTGCTTTTTCACTCCTCGGCTTGAAGTGTTTCAGCATGACAGAGAACCGAGAAAAAACTACCAAGCAGCAACTATTAAACTGGTAAAAGAGAGTCCCCGCTCATGTGTGTGGGGACACAAAAGTGCACCAAGTGTCCGTGACTGTGTCATTACCAAAGTGCTGCCCCAGCACTGAGCATTCGCTTCCCCTGAGGCTGCTTTCAGTGGCTGCACTGCAGATACTCCCCGTGGCCAAAAGGGAGCTCTGATAAAACCTTCCTTCCCTCTGGAATCCGACTGGAAGAGAGCTAACAGCAGCTGAGATGCTGTTTGAAACGCTGGTGGGTTTTAAACTCTGCCTTAAGTATGAGCAAATCCCAGCTGGGGCGTGCAGGGCTCTGCCTTGTGGCGGCTCTGGGGACAAAGAAAAGCCACCCCCTTCTGCAGGGCACGGCCACGAGGCAGCTGTGACACTCCCTGCACGGAACTGGGACTCACTGGTGAGCACACAGAGGGACAGCGAGGAAGGAGAAGTGAGTGTTCCTTTAAAATAAGGGGCTTTTTCTCAAGTGTGCTAATGGGAAGTACAGGACAGACACATCTGCTGCAGGTTAATGAGCTCTCTCAAAAGCCGGCACAAGGAGACAGGTCACTCAGATCTGACATTCAGGACAGAAAATCCATCAATAGACTCTTTAAAGTAAATGGCATTTTACTCTGTGTAACTCTGAATGGAGCACTAAACCTTTATGCTGTTTAATCCTCTTAGGTCCCTTTTTGGCTGTTTTTTTGTGGCCCAGCCAGGAGTGTATTCCCCCTCCCAGATCCTTCAGGCTGGATGCTGTAGCCACCATCTATTCTCAGCAGAGAAGATGCTCATCTGTTTCTCCAAATTACCATTGTTTTTGAGAAACAGCAGCAATGAGCTCTCTGAACAAGTCACACGCAGCAAAAACGTCAAAGCAGCTGGCTCTGCCTCATGGGCAAAGAGCAGCTCAGCTTTCTTCAAAATCCAACACCCATCCCCAAACCTTTCAAAAAGCTGGGTGCAAGGAGACCTTTCTACTGAAAAAATGCTCCTGTCACTTGACATCAAGCATTTGCAGCATCCCCAAGGCACAGGACACTTGTCACAGCCCCCGTGTGAGGCTTCAAACTCTCAGAGTGGGAGAAAGCTGATGGAGGTAATAACAATTGTTAATGAGCAATTTAAAAATAGACATCACCACTGCTCATGAATACAAATTACAGGGCAAAGAGTGATAAGCTATGCTGGAGATTGGGATTTACAGAGGTCATAGGAAAGGCAGGCCTGTCTCCCACAGACATCCAGAGAAAACATGATTGAAGCCAAAAGCAAAAAGGAAGTCACATTAGCAAATGGAAAAAACTGAACTGTCAGTTTTATGAGCACAATACAATTTAATCGGATTGTCAAAGCCTCATGTTAAAAGAGTTTATAGAAACCAAACCACAAGTGGAGTTTGAAAGATTTTTTTTTTTTTTCCTGGCCATCCATCCACAAAACAACACGCTTCAATCCAAACTCAATTGCCAAGAAAATAAAATCAAAAGTACTGGTAAATAACAGCATCATTTTCCTTCATTAATTCCACAAGGCCATTTGTTTACTCCAGGCAGTCAATACAGCTATAGTTTGGCCTGGCCTGACAAAATGCTCTCTAGCAAAAATTTTCTTCCCAAGAATCTCACTGTGCGTTCTGGAAACCATCTCTGGCTGCTCCCACAACTGTACACACATATAATTTGCTGGGAGAGTTTCAGTAAACACAGATACTGAAGTCATGTATTGAACTGGTTTCCTTGTTGTTTTTTTTACCACAACTTGATTTTCATACAGTTAAGGGATTACTTTGCAAAGCAAAGATTGATGGGAGAGAAAAGAACAAAGCAGATTCTTTTTTCCCCCTGCTGCATCTTTAAAAAAACAGAAGAATTTACTATTTATAATAGCAGAAAAACCCTTTGGAACCTTCTAGTAGGGGGAGGCTTTTGGGAAACACAGGGTTTACTGTTAGAATTACTAGATTGCACTCAGTATTTCCAGACAAACCACTTTCATGGAAAAGCTTCATCCATTTTTTTGAAGGAAGGAAAAGAAAAGTGTATATTTATCTCCAGAAACTACCCTGGCAGAGGAGTTTAAAGACCTCAGTGCATGGTAAATAGCATCTGCTGGTTTTTAACAGCAGTCTCATGACCCGTTTCAACTTAGTGGCAGACAAAACAGGATAAGAAGGAAAAATACAGAGGGAAAAATTCGGTGGCAAACAGCATGAGGAAAAAATGTTTGATTTCGTCTAAAACACAATCAGGAACTCGTGACCAGGATACAAACTCCTGACCTGAAGGAAAAATTATCCACAGCAGTACCTGACTGATGTGCAGCATCGATTGCAAACTGTGCCCTATTCAAGCCCTGCAGAAAATAAATGACAAGAGCAACAAAAAGGGACTTGGAGCAGTTTTGCTGCATTTCCACATCAGGAAAAATACTTCCTCAGGCTGATGAATGGGTCACACACTGGTCCCTGAGGGTGTCAGTCACAAGGCAGGCAAATGTCATCTGAAAGGGATGAGCTGAGGCTGAAAATCATCTCTGGCCCAGCAGCTCCTTTACTCCTGTTTTCCCAGCCCAGTGTCTCCCTACCTTTATTGTGCTGCTCTTGGAACTCCAAATAATTGCAGTACCTGTAGCAAATACTTGGCTGCACTATTTTATCTACTTCAACAAGATGCATTCTTGTCCTGCCATCACCACAGGTTATCACCCAGTGCAGAATCTTTTTCCATCCCTGGGAAGTCTGTTGTGAACTCACACCAACTGATTCTTTGGCCCCTTCTCATTTATTTGGAATGGTTATTTACTCCCTCTAAGTTGCTCTGTGTTTTATTCACTCTGGTGTTTTACATGCTGTCCTTACTTGTGCAGCCTCTGCGTGTTCCAGCATCTCCTCGAATTCCTGGTACTCCTCATCATCAGGTTCAGCACCCGACAGCCGGGCTGCCCTCGCCATGAAATAGGGGGGCAGCTCTCCAATGGCTGTACCAGCACCCTGGGAAAAGAACAATCCTGATTTATTTTCCTGTTTATTCCCAAACACAAAACATGTGACACGCACAAATGCCGTGGCCATTCTCCGAGCCGACAAGACCAGCTGTTTGGAGCAGTTTGCTTTCATCCACCAGGTCAGAATTCCCATCCTTTCCAACAGAACGCTGTTCCTTTGAATCCCTATTTCCCTTTCTTTTTCCTGTGCAGGGGAAAGCCTGGGGGTTGCAGGGTCAAGCAGACGTGACCTGTGCATCCCTGGGGCCCCGTGGAGCGGCGCGTGGCCGGAGCCGTGGGAGGCTGGAGCTGGTGGCCCTGCTGTCCCCCACATCCCTGCTGTCCCCCACATCCCTGCTGTCCCCCACATCCTGAGTCAGCACTGCTGTGTCTCACCCCACCACATGATGCCAGACACATTCCCCAGCATGTGACAACCCTTGATCCCCAGGGGCCTCCAGAATAATCCGGGAGCTCCTCCCCGGTGCTGTCCTGGAGTTTGCTTGTTCAGTCATGAGACTCTGGGCAAGTGTTTGTTAGAAAACAGACTCAGGTTTTACTACAGCAAGGAAAAAAAAGGTTAAGCAAAGCCTGAGCTTGAGTTTTCCCTCTCCTTCAGCTGGGATAGCTGGAGCCAACCCCAGATGAAAGGACGGCTGCTTTCTCACCGCAGGAAAATTGTATTTGTTTTCTCAGGACATCAAATGACTCATTTCAGTCTTGTGGGTAAAGGCAGCTTTAGCTTAACCAAGGGAAAAAAGAGAGACAAGCTAAGATTGAACATATGGATAAACAGAGGCTAATGGAACAGGAACTTGGAATTAACTCAGGATGGTTTAAATTTAGGGCAGGTAAGAGACAATAGTTGGGCACTGCACGGGAATGTGCTCCCTGCAGATGGCTTTTCTCTCCCAGGGTCAGCAGTGAGTAACAAATGCTTTTCTCCTCCTTTGAAGCAACGTGAAAGCTTTTCAATTTCCTTTGTTCCTGCTCTATACACAGCTGCAAGCAAGAATTCCAGCTGCTGTGGATATTCCAAATCAACAGGTTGTGGTTTTAAATACCACCGCAGTTAAATTCTCAGTTTAAGCACCCAAAGTGTACACAGGCCTCAAATGTTTATGCCCTTGTTTTCCACAGAAGAAAAAATTTAAATGACTGCAACAAGCTGAACTTCATTAATCTGCATATTTCTGGCACAAGGGGAAGATAAGCCTGAAAACAGTAGCAACAACACTTCAGAAAAATTAACTTGAGGTTATGTTCTCAGGGTGATGCAAGAAGAAAAAGTCACATTGCTCCTCCAGGCTCTGCCAATTTGCTTTGGCTTCGTTCTGTGAACTGAGGAAGAGGTTTGCATGTGTGTACTGGACATGAACTTTCTTTAAATTGGATAAGTCACATGCTCATTATTACAAAACATTTCAGAAGTGCAACAAAAATCATATGATTTCATGTCTGCTGGAGATAGGTTCCTTAAGTGCATAAAAGCAAAAAAAAAGGCAAAAAAAAAAGCAAAAGCAGCATTTAAGGGCTCCAAACCAGTAACTATTTAACTGCTTTTTGTAACATTAGATATTTTCACCATTTAACTCTGAATGCCAGTTTTACATGGAGATTCCTTGGACTCCCAACAAACTGGAAAGGCAAATGCTAATCAAAATTCTTTTACATTCAGAAAAGGAAACTGGGAAATGACTCCACTAGAAAGAGTCTTTTAAACAGATTTGATCCTGTTCAGGACACAGGCAGCCTGTTCTGCTAATCCCAAGCAATTAAACATTTTTATTCTTTCCCCTTATTTCTTGTAAAAAACCAAAAAGGCTGCAACACATTAAAAATATAGGGCACTATTGAATTCCTTGTCCCTGTGGGATGGGAGGCTGTGAAAACTGGCATTCACCTAAGAGATTGTTTGTGAGCCCTTCTGCAGGCCAGGGCTGCTGGAGCCAACTTTTACAGGGATTGAAAAAAGCATCATTTTCATCCCACCTAATAACTCCTCGGGCACAGGGATATTTAATCCTTGTCACACTCACTGTCAGCAGGAATGGCCATCCCTGACACGCTGGGGACTGGGAATGATTTTCATCTCTAGCTGAAGTTGGCTGCTGATGGTTTGGTGACCCTTGTGCAGATAAATCCTCACATTTCACCCCACAGGACACTCAGCCTGGGCAGCTCTACAGCCACAGCTCTGCAAAGTCACCCGGGGGTTTTCTGCAAAAATCAGCCTTTTCACCTTCTGGAAGTCACCGTTCTCTTTGCTAAGTGGACATTTAGCTTAAGAGTGACAGAATCCAAAATAACTCTCTTCCACAGCTTCCACAAGAAGTGAGCTGGAATTAGGACAAAAGAAACACACTGGAAGCAGAGCAGCAGCAATTGCCAACTTGATTTGGCTTACAGGAAATTAGCAAGCAATGTTTATGTACTCAGAAACATTCCAAGAAAGCATAACATTACACGAGACACCAGTGGAGGACAGAGGATGCTCCCCAGGGAAAAGCCAGAGGAGACAGAGTTCAGAGCAAAGGTAGCTGACAGGGAATTTGAAAAAGGAGGGGGGGAAAGGGTGAAAAAGTGGGATACAAATGTTCCTGTTCCCTTGTCCTTTCCCTAATCTAATCCAAGGAGCTCAGACTACGAAGGCATTGCTTGTTCTCCCCCATGGCTGCTCTGGAGGACACGAGATTCCAGAGGCTGCAACTCTGCTCTCTCATTTCTGAACTTAATTCTACTCACAGCTCAGTTTTTGCATGCTGCAGATGAAGCAAGAGATGTTTACCCTCAGCTGCATTTTTATTTTGCAACCCTAGAAACGTAGCTGTAAATGCCATTTTTATTGCTTGTCTCTATTAAACAGATTTCAGCAGAGAGGGATGAGGAAGAAAATAAAAAGAAATCTTAGATATATTTATAGTCTTGTAAGTATTTGTGTGATTAGCTACTTACTGAGCATTCAGGCAATTCTGGACTTTCATTAAGAGTCAAATTTAAGCTGTACTTTGCTTTTTGACAGGGCTGTGAGTCCACTTTCTCTGTTGCTATTTTGATTTTAGTCTCTAAACTCACACAACCTGACTGGAATTTTTGTAACTAACACAACTGCTGCTATTTAAAAAACTGTAGTGACCAGTTGCCTTATATATTAAGAAATACCAGGGCAGGCATCAGATACTGTTTTTAGAATTTCCTTTCTCTGCATTTGAGTTGGACAACCAAGAATTTAGTAATTAAATCATCAGCTAGGACAGGAAGTCAGCAGCAAAATAAAGTTAATTTGGCATGTAGTACACAGCAGATGCATCTGTGTAAACTGCAATTCAAAATTATCTACATGTAATGAAAAAACAGCCTGGCTGACCAAAATTCTCCAAAAAATTAAACTTCTACAAGAAGCTGCAGAGAGAAAAAAAAAAAGAGGAAAACAGAAAGGAAGTTCCAATGACAGAGTTTCCTAAGACCCTGATTCACTTAAACAGGAAAAGCAGCTCAGCTTTTCAGTGAAAAGTGGAAGCAGGCAGAGACACAGAAATAAAATATGTAAAAATGTGGAAAAGAACATTTTAAAATTAAATGAAATATAATTAAAATTTTATATATTTTATTAAAATATGTAAAAATGCATAAAAGAACTTTTTAAATAAATGCAATTCACTGCTGCAGCCCAGAACAAGCTGTGGGATGAGGTCCTGAGTCCTGCAGATGAGGAACTGCAGCTTCACTGACATTACAGCCCCAAAATTATTGGAATTATTTCTTGCTTAGACCTGAGAGCTGCCAGATCATCTGGGGTGAAGAAACCCTTCCTAAAATTTACTTTTTAAATCAACAGCCTTCAAATTCTCTGCTGGTATTCAGGAAACAGCAGTGCAGCTGATAAAAACATCCCAGGGATTTCCTATTAAAAAAAGCATTCAAACGATCAGGGTTAAAAGGTTCACTCCTCACATTACCTTGGGCATCATTATTTTGCTAATTAAGGAATTTGTGTCTATTGCTGGCCACAGAAATGAAACACACAAATGGAAAGTGCAGGTTTTTAAACAAGCCTTACCCACATGCAGGCCTCCAGCCTGACTTTTGAGATGATTGCCCACAAGGAGATGGAGCCTTCAGTTGTCTCCTCATCAGGGCAGATAATTTGATCTGGGTAAGGAGGCTCAGGGAAATTCACAGAGTTACATTCATAGGCAGCAAGAGTGACTGAGGCTATGTGTGGACCCTGAAAAAGAAAAGAAAAAAAAATCAAAGAAATTTCAATTTTACTTTATGTGAGTTGGAATAAAAATTAAAATTAGCACCCCCCCATTTGTCCCTAGGCTAAAACTTAGTGCTTCTCTCTTTAAATAATGTTATTTATGTAAAATTCTTGTTTGTTGGAGTTTCTTTTAAGACCATCTGAATCACAATGTTGAGCTACTAATGTACTTTAAAAAAACTAAATATTTCTTTTGATCCACTGAAATGTTAGGGAGCCTTTCAGCTTTTGCCCTGCCACTTAGAAGGTCGCCAAAGAGAAATAACAATCCTTACTTTTTTAAAAAACCAGGAATTTTCAAATATTTTACAATGTTCTCTTTAAGGTATTTTATGACCTACTGCTTTATTAGAGGAGGTGTTTACCCTACTGCTGCTGCTCTTAGAGGATTAGGCATTTAAATTATATATTGATTTTTTTAATGACTGGGTTTAATGACATCTTGCAGCAGACTTTCTTAACTTCTGTATTTTTCTCCAACAGCCAGTTGTTTAATTTGTGTCTGTTTTTTCTGAGTAAACAAGAAAGGGACCTCAGTGCTTTTTGCTAAAAAATGGTTTGAAATGTAATTCAAAACTTAAACATTATTTAAATACCATTTAACTGAATTAATTTTAGTTTCCATCTTACACTGAAAGATTTTTTTGGACAGACCTCCAAATAAAAAGAGCATAAAAATCTATTCAAGAAATGAACTGCTACATAGTTTAAAAACCTGAAAGAATTGCCATTATTTTTAATACAAAAGAATTGAGAAGCAATTCAAACAATCTGAACACCAGACATTGTAGCTAAAAAACAATCACTTAACAAAGGTCATGAAACACTGTCCAGGGAAGAGGGAGGGGGAAAAAAATAAAATTACTGCAATAAAGTGAGATTTTTGTGTAAACCCACACATTTAAATAAATCTAAAAGTTTCATTTAGTGCAGAACAAATGACACAAAACCTTAACTTCTGCTATTCATTATTTGATGGGTTTTGACATCGTGCTGGGAAATACTGCCAGCAATTTTCATCTGTGTTTTTATCTGCAATCTTAATTTATTTTCATTTTATTAGAGCAATAAGGGAGCTTGATATACCCCCAAAAATCAAAGCTGAATTTATGACAGAGCAGAGGGAAAGTGTGAGAGAGCTGAGCTCTGCCCAGGCTCCCAGAGCTCCCTTTGAAATGCAGGAGCCAGGGACACATCAGCCCCAAAAGCTTCATTTGCACATTAAAGGGTGAAATTCCAGCAGGTCCCACACTAAAGGGGAAGCTCCAGCACTCCAGGATTTGCTGGGCAGATGAGGTTCACTCACCAACATTTCAGAGCAATGACATCCACACGGTGATTTTTCAGTGGCAGTGAATTAAGAATGTTGAAATAAAACACCAGTTATATTTTCTGTATGGCAGCTGCAACTACTGTTGTCATATGCAAACAATTCCAAATAAACCCATTTTTCTGGCATGCAACTCGTAAAGGACAAGCTGCTCTGAGAGCAAGAAAATGCTTTTATTTATTCCTCGTTGCTTTACAGGAGACTCATTCCAAGTGCTTGGGTGTATTTTGGATTGCAGAAATACAAAACCTGTGAGATGATAAATGAGGCACAGTCTCTCTTGAGGAGAAGAAAAAGGTTCAATGAAATAAAACTGAAAAAGAGGGGATCCAGAAACTGACACAGAAAAGAGATTTTGATATGGAAGGGAGAACAAAGACTGGAAGAATGAACCAAGGGGTAATAATTTATATCATTAATATTTCTATAGGCCCTAATGGCAATAAATGTCTTGGTACCTGTAGCAAGATCATCTCCACAGCAGCTTCAGAGCTAAATAAATAATATCTCTCTACTTCACTCACCAAGGGCAGATGCAAAGAGATTTGAAACCTCCCTAAAATTGTAAAGTACATTTATGGCAAACCTGGGAACCCTTTCTCACTCTGGAACTTGGAGGATTTAATCCCATCCCCTGCTTGTCCCTCCCTAGGTCTGGCAGCTACCTTGGAACAAAAAAAAGGTCTCAAGCCATTATCCTAAAATTAATGGTTTTCACCTGCAGAAATCTGCAGTGAAAATCTCCTGAAAGGCAGGTTTGCATGGAGGAAATTCCCCGGTGTTTGAGCTGTAAATGACCATTGCCTCATTCCCTCGGGCCATGGCCAAGGCAGAGATAGGGAATCCAGAGCTGGGGCTTTCACTTCCACAAAATTTGGAACACACACCACAGCACAAGAGGAACTACAGCCAGCTTATTTGGAATAGCAAGAGACAAATTTTGTCACTACTGTCAGTAGCGATAAGCAGCCCCTCAGCCCTTGCAAGGCTTCAGCATCACCCAAATTTCTTCCCAAAGTGCACCCAAGGTGGATGAAGCAGGTCCTAAAATCCCAGGGGAGCACACAAGGACAAAATGCCCAAGTGGAGATGCTGCAGGAGCCTCTCCCAGCAGAGTTGCCACCCTGGAAGTGGCTGAACATCCTCCAAACCCTCCTGTTGAGAGCCCTCCCAAGCCTCAACAAATGTCTGCAAAAGGAAAAATTTCACAGGGAGTAGTCAATGGAAAAAAAAAAAAAAAAAAAAAAAAAAGAAGGCATTTCACCAAACAGCTGCAAACGGCCACCTGAAGGCCAGGCCAAGGGAACAGAACTCTCCCAGAGCAATGTAAACAATTCTATAATGGAAAAAAGTTGGAGTGGTGGAAGCCACAGAAGCCACATTTGAACTGGAATGAGGAATAAAGTGCAAATGGTTTCTTCAGAGTGATGAAGTGTGGCAGGGAAGTGGAGCGAGGCGAAGGGAGGCAGAGCAATCCCGAGTCCTCCCCCGTGTCTGGGTGTCCTGTGGGTCACAGGGACTCTGTCCCAGGCTGGCCAGGCTCAGAGCAACACCCCAACATCTGCTTTTGGGGCTCCCCAAAGCCCTGGGTACCTCCAAACAATGCTAGGCTGAACAGGCCCAGGGCTGGGAGGAGAGCAGGAGGACTGGGGAGTTCATTTCTATTTAGTGATGGTTTAACTCTGAATGGACAGGCCCAGGGCTGGGAGGAGAGCAGGAGCATTGGGGAATTAATTTCCATTTAGTGATGGTTTAACTCTGAAAGGAGCAGGGAACCAGCTTCAAACAGGCTCGAGGTGCCACCTTTGGAAATCCCTGACTCTACACCAGGAGGATTCATTCTCATCCAGGTTTTCAGTCTTCTTCACAAATAACACCTCCTCCACCCTCTCCTCCTCCTCTCTGTGAGGCTGCAGGAAATACAGGAGTGTTTTGCCTCCCTGCAATAATTCAGTTTGTTTCAACACTTGGGGAAGTCCTCTCAGATGTCCCCCTTGGACTGTGACTGTAGCTCTACCTTTGAAAAGGACAAAACTGCTTCAAACCCCATCACACCCAACACTAAATCCCAGGCAATTCACATGTGCTCCTGGCCAAACCAGGAAAACTCAAGGCATGTAAGATCCTGAACACCAACTGTCTTTCCCTCACCCTCTCTTCCAATGATTTTTTTTCCCTCTAAGCTGCAGGAGGCACTAAATAAGGATGGCAGAGGAGAAACTGAGAAGCATTCTGCTGACTCGGGTGAGAAACACTCGCTTGCCACTGCTGACGACCAGAAGGAGCCTGTGGTCAGGCCGGAATGTGATGTGTTAGAAATATCTGTACAATTTGCAAATCAAACAAGACAGGATTTGCTCATCGAGATGAACTCAACATAAATCTATTTCTCAGCAACAGCAGTTCAGGGGAGTTTGGAAATCCCTGTCTGCACAACCCTGATGTCTCAGAGAAGGTAACTTTGAACTCTTGAACTCACAGGCCTTCAAAGGAGTTTGATTCCAGGGGTTGAAGGCACCCAAGTTGGAATGGCACAGAAATAAGTTACTTAAAGTGATGTATTATGAAATTTCTGGAAAGTAAAAATCTTTTTATCTGTGAATTATGCTTGGAAGTTCATCTGTGGAAGCAGAAAGAAACAGCAGCCACATGTAAAAAAAATCACGAGTTAAAATCCTTAAAAACATGCTGATCTGTACAATTCTTACAGCAGAAAGTCTTTACCATAAGGAAAAGAGACTGAATATCCAATAAAAAATGAATAGTATTTTCACATTATTCATCATTCTGAGCACCTGGACTGGGAAGTCAATTAAAGCTCCAAACAAATCCTGTATCAAGTGTTGGTTTCTCACATGCCCCTTCACAGAATGGCCAGGCTGCTCAAGTGATACAAGAACAACCACATCTAATTTTAACCTTTTATTTTTGGGGAAGATATAATTTTAGACTGGTTTTAATTTAGAAACATTTCTCAAAGAAAAGTGATATGTCTGCCAGCAAGAAAAATATTACCCTGAACTCCTTGCTGAACTTCATGCACTAAAAATCTGTTTTCCTCCATGGATACACTGCTCTTCACACTGGGTTCAAGACTCAGCCTTTGCACAGGGGGGGAACATGTCATGATGCATTTGATGGAGATAAATTTGAAAAATAAAAGCTTGCTTCTCATGGGAAACATCCTCTGAGTGGTGCCCCAGGCCACGACTCATCCCATACTTATCCATGAAGTCATTACACCTCTCCAGAAAGTCACACCACAGTTACAGCATCTTTTTTATCTCTGAGAGCAGTGGACAACTACCCACAGAGAGAACAGCTCTGTGATTAAGAGGCAGAAGCTTGGTCTGGAGGTGGCTGGTAAATATGTGCAGTTTGTCTGCCTGTCTGTGCTTTGAGATTAAAATGTCTCATGATTCTATAACGTCTGGTATGTGGTGCTGGCTGGAAATCTGGGCTGGGGACAGAGGATCCTGCACCTAGAGCATCCTCAAGTGACACCAACATCCATCAAGTGGTCAGGGCTGGGTTTGGAAGACCCTCACAGCGTTTCACGCTGTGTATTAATTTTACACTCACGTGGCTGTGGTGAAGTTTCTATTCCCACTTCAGCCAAGCCTTGCCCCACAGT